TTGCCCTACAGTCTCACAGTAGCTGCAGGGAATGGATTTACATCTTTGCAGAGGCCCAGTTTAGCTGGAGACAGTGGTACCTTCTTCCCCATGCTGTTTTCCAGAGTCAAAATGGTCCCATGGGTAACTATTTGCACATACAGTATTCCATGCAGCTGCTGTGGGTAAAATAAGTCACCTGGATCCAACTCATTAGAAATTGTATTATGTAGTTTGGCCCTTTGGAAGGGTGTAACTACTTCATAGCATCAGATTCATCTGATAGAAAAGTCTTTTACCTAAGGGAGTTCACATACTGCATGGAAAATAGGATACATGAGTTTGATTTCAGAGATATTGTATTTCCTGCGAGGAAACAGACCCACTATTGTGTAACATCACATTATTAGAATGTATCCTTTCCCCCCCTTTGAATCTGTCTTCAGGCATTAGAAACAAATCCCCATATAAACTCAAGGCAGACAAGATAATAAACAGGAACAGGAAATCTGGCAAACATGTCTGGTTGTAGTATTTGTTATTTATCAAGAACAATTAAAGTCAGCTAAAATACTTAACAACAAAACAGTGGAACCTATTCATTCACTATCCATTCATATATCCAGTTAAAGTTGTAAAAAAACCAGCTCAGTGGGGTCTTTCATCTGGATTTATTTATTTATTGCAGTTTATATCCCGTCGTACCCCGCAAGCAGGCTCAGGGTGGCTCACATCGTAACACAATACAGTAGCAATTTAAAACATTAAATAATCATTAAGAAGTAAAATATTAAACAAGTAAAAACATTAAACAATCCACACAATAATATGGGTCTCCTAACCAACAGTTTAGCAATTGATTGCATACTAAAGTATGCTGACCCCATGCTAGAAGGGGTAATGGATCAAGATGGATCAGGTCAGCCACTCCCAGCAACAGCTGATACACAAGTACCGATGCAGGGGAGTCTGATGTTATTGGACATCCGCTGCCTCAACCAAAGGCCTGGAGGAACAGCTACATTTTACAGGCCCTGCGGAAGTGTTAACAATTCCTGCAGGGCCCTGATCTCAATTGGGAGCATGTTCCACCAGGCTGGGGCCATGGCCGAAAAAGCCCTTGCCCTGGTTGAGGCCAGACGGACGTCTCTTGGGCTGGGGACTACTAGCCAGTGCTGGTCAGCAGAGCACAAGGCTCTGCAGGGCATATATGGGGAGAGATGGTCCTGCATGTATGCTGGTTCCTGGCCACAACAGGCCTTAAACGTTAACACCTGATCCGGTATTCAACTGGCAACCAATGCAGCTGAAGCTGCACCTGCACAAGCTTCCCAGACAGCAGGAACACCACCACATTTTGTACCAGTTACAGTTTTCAGATCAAATTCATGGGTAGGCCGGCGTAGAGTGAGTTACAGTAATCAATCCTGGAAGTGACCATTGCATGGATCACCAATGCCAAGTCAGGCAAGGATTGGGGTCATGGCTTTGAGGGAAGGGGTTTAATCCTTCCCTTCTCCCTGCTGTTTCTGTGACTGAAACTCTGACACAGGAAGTGAAAATTTTTTTTTTGCCTATATTAGGGCTGCCAAGCCGCGGCGGGGGATCTGCACTTCTTCACAGGATCCCTGCTGTGGGGGACAGCGATACGCGCTGCACCGCCGTCGCCAGGATGTGACGCTGTGCGTCGCTCTGGCAACGGGGCTGTTTGGAGTCCCGTTGCCAGAGCGATGCGTAGCGTCACATCCTGGTGACGGCGGTGCAACGAGTATCGCTGTACCCCGCGGCAGGGATCCTGTGAAGAAGTGCAGATCCCCCGCCGCGGCTTGGCAGCCCTAGCCTATATTGTGCCTGGCTTTTTTCCCTCTCTCGTTAGGCTTAAAGCAACCGGGAGGGAGAACATTTTTGATTGAGGTAATGGTCTTAGAAATAGGTTAAACTTTCTCAGCATTCTGGCTGATCTTGTGAGGTTGCCAACAACCTGGAGAAAAAAATACCCTGCCCCTTTAACAGAGGCTTAATGGGGTATTATTTATCAGGTGATGTTGTTTACCTCCATGCCATTTGCACACATTAAGCTTCTATTAAAGGGAGAGGATATTTTCTATCCAGGCTGTTGGCAACCCTACCCATTGCTGCCTTTTTTTCCAACTCAGCTACACATCTAGGATTACAATTTCAGATTCACAATATTGGGTCCAGTGTGGTTCTCAGTCTCTTCTCAGTTTTTTCTGTCACAAATATCAAATATTTCATTCTGAGTGAAAAAGTCTAAAATGAGTATTACCATTTATTACTGTACTTATAGTGCATAGTTTAAATTTTCAAATTGGTGAGTGAAATCAGTAGGGTGACCTGGTGTAAGATTTTGCCTCTCCTTGATTTTAAGGAAGTTACAAAATGTTGACTTTGGGGCTCTTCCACCACATCCTTTAACATCTTTTCCTTTACTCCCACTTTTTGTAGTTAACATCTAGGATCATGAAGAATTCTTTGGAACTTAAAAGCTTGCACTCATTATTTTGTGGTTTTATTTTAGTTGGTCTAAATAAAAAGATATTGCAGGATGGCTAATTTTGGATTTTCCCTCATGGGTCAATAAGGCTACCTATAATTTTTGCACTACATATACTATTTGTATTCATGAAAAACAGCTTTTGTTTAAGTTGTAAGATAGTATAAAAAGATTTTACAAACACAGAATTCTAACAGAATATAAAACTTAGGTCTGAACTCACCAAATCTATAGAAGTGCAATGGTCCCATGAAAAATGCCATCATCATTTAAAACTGCATCCTACTGATGGTCAAGTGCTGATTATACGTCTGCATCTGCAACTATACCAAACGAAATTGGTATTGTTAGACAGGATAATGTAACTTCTATAACTATCAGGCCTGGGGTGCTAGTGTACATTATTTCCCTTGAGATTTCCCTTTAAAAGCCACTTCTGCTTAAAACAGCATATTGAAATTGTAATTGGTTGAATGTACAGTGGATCCCTTTCTAGGAATCATGGTGTATTTCATCTTGAAACATCCAGTATTGAAATACCACTAAAATTACACTAAAATGAAAACACTTGCTTTTTAATCCTGTTTAAATCAAAGTTTTGAAACACTTCACGAATCACAACATACCTGCACAAGAAGTGCAATTAGTCATTCATGATGAGCTACCATTGCCCCAGTGAAAGACACACACTGAACCTATGCAAAATATAGGAAATGAGAGCTGCAGAAATTGGTCGCCCAACATGCCTCTGCCCTTTCACATTCAGAAAGACAGACGGCTTCCACACAGTGATGATTCTTTGTGTAGCTTCCCTTGCCACTGTGCGTGCAAAGCCATTCACATGGGCAACTGGACATCTACATGGCAGCTTTCTAAGGACCTTCCTTGCCTCAGCCTCCAACAGCCACCACTGTCGCCCTGTTACAGGGGAAGGTAATTGACATATTGCGGTAGCACAATACATGAAGCTGCTTTCTACTGAGTCAGACCATTGGTCTCTCATTGGTATGTCTTCTCTGACTGGTGACCTGAGTCTTGGCAAGGAAGGTGGGCTATAAATGAACAAATAAGGAGTAAATAAATGAAAACTCTCCAGAGACTGAGACAGAAGTCTTTCACCTACTTCTTGACCCTTTTACATAGATTTGCCAGGGATTGAACCTAGGATCTTCTGCTTCCAAAGCAGATGCTCTGCCACTGAGCAAAGGCCCCTCCCTGTGCACACTACAATATATCAGTTTACTCAGTTTCAAGGACAGCAAGGTTGTCCTGGTTTGGCATCCAAATTTGACTGTTTTTTTTTTAGTATCTCCTAACTGTCCACTTTCTGGGTTTTTCTCTTTGTGCCAATCTCTCCCAAATCTGATTGTATAGGATCTTTTGAAAAGATCACAAATAAGTGAGTTTGCATGCTGTGTTTGGATTTTTGGATTTTTGGAGATTTGGATTTTTGATGGTGCTGCCCACACTGGTTGGTGCTATTTTCATTGCCTCAGCAACCCTGCAGCCGACATTTCCCTCCTGTACCAATGAAGAGTTTTTCTGCTTTTTAAAATCAGTAATTGTTAGATCACTAAAGCCAATAATCTTGTAACAATCTATCATGACAAATTCTTCTGAATTCCCAGCTTTAGCCCTTTTCATTGTACTCTGCAATGAAAAGGACTAGACACATTTTAAAGCAGAAACACTATGACATAGTGAACTAGCAAAATAGCCTGGAAATAAAAACCTCTAAGGGCAGGTAGAGAATAAAGACAAAATTGCCACTGACCAACGAAAGAACACACTGACAAAACTCTCATGTGGGTGCTTCATTAGCCTTCGCGGTGCAAATGCTTCTACATTTGTAACTGTAATGACAGGAAACAGAAAGTGAATAAATGCATTGAAAGAAATATCGATCTATAGGGTAAATGTCAACAGAAATTGTTCAGCTCCAGTACAGCTCAATCAAGGAGCAGCTTGCACAGAAGTCTCTGTACGGAAATCCCTGAGGTTCACATCAACCTAGCTGGCATACTTTTATAACTATAGCAAGGCTTATCTGACTGGGATTGAGAGCTCGGTTTCTAAAACAAGAGATGCCAGAACACAAGTGTCAATGCAATCTACCACTTTAGCCACCAGGCATAATTAAAAAATAGGCCCACACTTGAACTCCGGTGTTGGACTGGATGGGCCACTGGCCTGATCCAACACTGGCTTCTCTTATGTTCTTATGTTAAGACCCGTAATGGCATGGTGACGCTGACCTGAATGGCCCAAGTTAGCCTGATCTCATCAGATCCCGGAAGCTAAGCAGGGTC